AGCAGCTCTTTCTCCTTTCCAGAATGAAATGTCTGACAGAGACAAGGAAGAGATGAAAACAAAAAAGTAAAAAGTTTTATCTCCTTAACATAAATCTCTAGGAGGGACAGAACGACAGCGTAATACCAATCTCCAGCTTAAACTTGAGGTGAAGAAAATGCCCCCTTTCAGCAATTCCTTCTCAGCCTAGCATGCATCACAGGTAGATTATGATAACAATTCCGATTTAGCTTGATGTAACTTGGTTTTTAATTTTAAAAACTGAAAACAAAATGGATTCACACTTTTAGCCTAAAAACAATCATGTTGAGCTGGGATGATATTCAGTTAAAGATACAGTATGTAGTAAAATATGTAGAGCCCGTCTTGATTTCTGAACAACTGCAAATCTTTGTGAGTAACCCTGCAATTTTAAGCAAGATATTTACCCTCTTTGAGTTTAGGTCTCCTCATCAACAAATTGTGAATAATAATATTTACATCATAAGTTGCTGGGAAAAGATATGCGATGACGTGAAAAGAAGTTAGCACAGTGCCTTGTGCATAATAAATAATTGGAAAATGTTAGTCTCTTTTCTTTCTCACCAGTCTATTAACTTACATAACCAGCATTTGCTTTTACTTAGAAGTTGTTAAATGGGAACAAAAATCTTTCTCTTGATTATTTAAAAATATTACTGTCATCAAGATGATAATAACCATATCACCTGAGTTACCAAAACTGTTGCATTTTAATTAACAAATTGAAAATAAACACACTTAATTTACAGAATAAACATTTCCAAAAACTATCTAGGGTAAACTCTTAATATGGGAAGGGTGACAATTTTATCATCATCATTTTAGCCACAGGTAGGTTAAATGACCTGCCTAAAACCCCACAGAAGTTTATTATCAGAGATAGACATGAATATCACATCTTCTTTCATTCCATCCTGCATGATAGCTTTTGGTTCATATAATTTATCACGGGCAAGCTAGATTCACATAAGGATTTTCTTTAAAAAGAAACAAAAGAAAACAAAACTAGGGCTAAAAGAGCATGTCATGCAGTCTCAGATACCTTTTAGGAAACAGGAAGAGTATCAGTGAGAACACTAATTGCTCTACATACTTAGTAATCATCATACTTGTCAGCAGTAAAACGCCAAATTCTAACTCCTTGAAGAGCAGCATGTTGTTCTGGGACCTATTCTATTTTGACCAAAATAATAGGTTGCAACTTTTTCCTGAAGAGAGAGATACTACTGATCTCCAAGATGATAATAATAGTAAGAGTACAGAAGAAATTTTTACAAAATAAGACTTTGAATTAAAGGCAAGAGTTCTCAAAGTATGGTCTATTTCCCAGGAACTTTAAGATACTCCCAAGAGGTCCCCAAGGTCCCCCTCCTTTTCCAACTACACATGTGTGTTAAGGCTGGATTTTCTCCCTGTACTTTGACCTAAACAACATAGTGCATTAGATTGAATGGAGAAGTAGATAAGAGAATCCAGCTGTCTTCTAGATATATAAAAATGTGAAACAATGCCAGTCTTCTCACTAAAAGCTTTTATGGTTTTTGATTTGGAAAATAGTTATTTTTTTTCACAAAATGAGTGATTTTTGTTACTATATAGTGGTCTTATTACTATTTTAATGAATTAAATAAATTGGAATAGAATCTTGAGACCAAAACCTTTGAATACTGAATTAGGATATAGGGATTTTTATTTGTGTTTAGAGTTATATTTAGAGAGACAGAGAGAGTCTGAAAGTAAAATATGTGTTAGACAACATTTGGGAATTTATATAAACATAAATATTAACCTCCTATAGTCCCACCATACAGAAACATTGCATGATTTTCTTTACTTTTTTCTATGCATACATCTACATATTTATTTAAACAAAATTGAGATCAAAAGATACACCACCTTTTTTTTTTATTTAACTTTATATCATGAATATTTTTGCAAAATTTTAAAATTATAAATAAGAGTAATTTTTTTGGGGGGGTGTAAAATTATATTAAACCATTAAGCTGGGGAAAAAGTAGAGGAATGGAACAGAAGGTAAGAGAAATACTTAAATGCTAACAGATCTAGAAGCATCTTTAAGAGTTTTTAAAATGTTGAAAGTTAAGGAAATTTAGGTAAGTGGAATGTTTTTAATTTTGAAAAAAAGTACTAAGGTTAAGCCTAAGTGATCTGTTATAGTTCATATTCCAAGGACCAACGATCTTCAGAAACATGCTATTTAATGATGGTGTCATGATTCCTTACATTTAATTTTTAAGTATTCTATTAAAGGGAATATAGATTATAATTTTAGATAGTTATTTGCATCTTTTTTAAAAATGTGTTTTTATTGATTTCAGAGAGAGGAAGGAAGAGGGAGAGGTAGAAACATTAATGATGAGCCCTAGCCGATTTGGATCAGTGGTTATAGCATCAGCCCATAGACTGAAGGGTCCCAGGTTTGAATTCAGCCAAGGGCACATACCTTGGTTGCAGGCTCAATCCCGGTCCTGGTCAGGGAGAGTTCAGGAGGCAACCAATCGATGTGTCTCTCTCACATTGATGATCTATGTTTCTCTCGTCTCTCTCTCTCCTCCCTTCCACTCTCTCTGAAAAACAATGGAAAAAATATTCTCTGGTGAGGATTAAGAGAAAAAAAAAGAAACCATTATCAATGATGAGGGAGAGTCAGTGATCAGCTGCCTCCTGCATACTCCCTACTGTGGGTCGAGCCCACAACCTGGGCATGTGCCCTGACCAGGAATCAAACCGTGACCTCCTGGTTCATAGGTCTACACTCAACCACTAAGCCACACCAGCCTGGTGAGTTATTTGCATCTTAAGCATCATCATCACTCTTGTCATTATATCTAACATTTATTGGGTCCTAGTCATATTCTAGGCACTGTGTTAAACTCTTAGTATGCCTTAACACGTTTAACCCACTTTTGAGATGTCTAGCTATTTCCACTAAGATCTAGTCTTTCTCTTTCTTTCATCCCTTTAATTCTTTCTATCATAGGATCTGGTGGACAAATCATAACCTAAAAGTGATGATATATTGGACCAACTCCTGCACTTAATATGTAAGAACCAAAGGAAAACAATGTCTAATTATTGCAATCTAATTTCTTCTAATGAACAGTATCTTTACAAAAAATATTGTGATTGTGTGTTTTTCTGCTTCTGGTTGATGTGATGAGCTAAACTCTCTTTCTCTTTTGTGTGTGTTCAAGATTCTTGGGATGGTGGAATTCGCTCTAGTTAGTTTGGTTAGAAATGCCACAGATATGGGTCCAGATATGACATGGATGAAGTGGTTTTAAACTCAGAGCAATTACACCTCACAAATATGAAGTGTATTCTAATTCCAGTCTACCATGTTAACAATACTTGCTACTGATTATGAGGACATCAGGTAAGAGAACATGGATAGATATCCATCAAGATGGTGAAGTATTAATGACATTTCTTGCATATTAAACAAAAAATATTTTTGAAGATTAGGTGTCAATGGAGGAATTATGAGTATCGATTGCCTTATTTTTGTATAGTTCCATTTAAATGTTGTTCATATTTTTTTAAGCTTCACTTTGCATATGAGATGTTTTGAAACTATTTAGGCACATTCTAAATGGCCCAGACATGGGGTACATGAAAGTACGTGCATATTTAAATGTAAAACTATGGGAAACAGTTATCTTTTGCAGAATTTAAAACTTGTTCTATTCTGCCCCCTTTAAAATGTAACCATTGAGTCCAACTTAATTAGATAAGAAAATCAGAGGTTAAATCAGATTTTGCCTCTCATCTGCATGGGCAATGCCAATTGAAATAAGTGATTATTTTTCATTACAATTAAGATTATCTGCTCCTGGCCAGAGTGACTCATTTGTTTGAGCATCATCCTGTGCACTGAAAGGTTGCCCGTTCAATTCCAGTTCAGGACACATACCTGGGTTGCAGGTTCAATTCACAGTCAGGGTACATATGGAAGGCCACTGATCAATTTTTCTCACGTTGATGTCTCTCTCTCTCTCTCAGCATGTCCTTGGGGTCAGGATTAAAAAAGACTATCTATTATAAATATTTTAAATACCATATCTTAAAGTTTATGCATGTATGCTTTTAAAATATAGCATTTTAATAGAAACTGAGGTTAGAAGTATAACAGCTAGCAGTGAGAATGCATTTTTAAAATCCATGATCAAAATACATGAAGAGACAAGAATACTTGGTCTAATACATTCTCCTGTGTACATATTTATGTGCTATGTTTTATTTCAAATTTGTATTTGTTGAAAAGCTTATTTATAGAACAACAAATTTTTCAGAAGGTACCCATGTTGATTGTGACAAGACCCATTAAATATTTAAATGGTGTTATTCAGCACATCATTAAAATACATGTAGAAATTGTTCATTTTAGGTTGTTCATCTGTATATGAAATATAAAATGTTATTAATGTGCTGAGTTGAGGAAATGTTTGCTAATCTTTGAATGGATTTATTGTCATCTAATCTTTTGAGAATCTTTCTTTTCTTTTAGGAGATATATTAAAGGGAACTTTTATTTCTATGTATGATTGTGACATGCACATTTAAAAATGAAATGTTTAATGCAATCATGAATAAGTGGAAACAGATTTGTCTGTCAAAATTTAAATAGCAGTGTTTTTGACTAATATAAAAATCTAATCTAAAATAGGTTAGCCATTTCATATAGGTGACATCTGTGCTTAAATATAATTTTCTCTCGCTGTTCTGGCATGACTGTTAATTACTTAGTCAATGTAGTTCAACATTTAGTTAATAAATATGTCAGGCTTTTACCATGGTGTTCTTTTTGCAGAGTTGTGAATTTGCAATTAGTTTTAGATTTACAACATGGTGACAGTGCTGTATAAATAGAGGTTAAACACACAATTTACATATTAATTTCATGATTCATTTATTCAGTGATTTATGTGGCTATAGATTGTATTTAATCTGTGCTGTAGTTGTTTCAGGCATGACAAACAGGATCACTATTCTAGCAGAGAAGTAATGATGTCTGTATTAAACTCTACAAGAAGTTGAGAGGAAAATAAGAAACGTTTGGAAACAATGATTCATTATCTTTAATACTTTCTCAGAGGCAAGTGAAGAGCAATAATGGATTTTTAAAAGGACCACATCTGACAATACTGAGAGTAGGGGATGAGAGAATTTAACAGGTTATCACATTGCCTTGCACATAGTAAGAACAGAGAGATTTGTTGTACTGAAATGACTTAAAGTTGAGTATCATAATATATTTTTAAGCCTGCATAAAACTTAAGTTAAACTTTGTGAAGTTTTAAGCAATTCATTTTAATTGACTTCTATTAATTTAAGTTATTTCTTCATGACAAGATCCACCATATTAAAAAATTTTATTTATCATTATTTAGTTTTAATTACAGTTGACATACATTATTATAGTAGTTTCGGGTGTATACCTCAGTGATTAGACATTGCATAACTTACTAAATGCTCATCCCAATAAATCTTGTACCCATCTGACACTGAATATAATTTTTAGAATATTGACTATTTTCCTTAGGCTGTACTTTACATCCCATGACTCTTCTGTAACTACCAATTCATACTTCTTAATCCCTTCACTTTTTTCACCTATCCCCCCAATCCCTCTCCCATCTGGAAATCATCAAAATGTTCTCTGTATCTATGAGTCTGTTTTTGTTCTACTTCTTTTTTTTTTTTTTTTTTTTTTTTGGTTTTTTTAGATTCAATTGTTGATAGATATGTGTTTATTGACATTTTATTGTTCATATTTTTTATCCTTCTTCTCCTTCTCCTCCTTCTCTTCCTCCTCCTCCTCTTCCTTCTCCTCTTCCTTCTTCTTCTCCAAGAAGACCCTTTAATATTTCAGTGGTTTGGTGGTGGTGAATTCCTTTACCGTTTTCTTGTCTGGAAAACTCTTTATGCCATTCTTTTT